TGACACAGTCCTTTAAATCGATTTTGTTAAACAAGGGCAAAGGATAAAGCCTAAAACGTACGTTCCGTTTATCAATTTGTTATTCTTCGCTGGTTTGTTTGTATAAATTTAGGAAAAAAGGACTTTTCCTGGGGGGGGGGGTGTGAAAGTGAGCCTCAGAACGTGCATTTTCATTTCCGATCAGCCTGCATCAGAGCAAAGTATCCAAGCTTTCTTGGCGACGTTCTCGTTCCTCCAGACTTTCCTCCCCTTCTCAAGGTGGAGCACGTCCAAAGGCTTGCAGGAGAGTTCGGCTGGGTCCTTTAGAAACGTACTTGCCAACTTAAATTGCTAACTTAAAATCTGCGTATTTTGAAGTATTTTGTGTTTTGTTAGTTTTGCTTTGTAAGATATTTAAAATAGGATAAACACTTTAAGATATCATATGGAGCATAAAGACCGCCTTGGGCTTGCATCTAGTCCTTAAGTTTGTTTTATTATATAGCAAGTATATTAGTAATGACATAAGCAATGTTATTATTATTAATATTACTTAATGATCGGACATAAGCAATGTGGATTGACTTTTTATGATACGCTGTACTAATAAAGGAAAGCTTCGCTAAATTTCTTTACTAGTTTTAATTCATTGAGCGGTTTTCTAATTCCCAAGACACCAGAGTCCGTTTTATAGTTTCCTAATTCCCCGATTCCCGTTTATCCTGTCGAATTTCTGTTTCTTTTTTTCTGTTCTTTTCCCCCCGTACATATGATTAATATTACGTATTAATAATAATTCATAATTGCTTGATTCCCCCCCCCCGTTACTCGTTCCTCCATTCCCCGTTCTCTGTTCCCTCCATTCCCTGTTCCTCCATTCCCCGTTCCCCCATTTGCCTGTATTCAATCTACAAACACTAAAAACAAGTTTACTAGTCGTATTTTACTCGTATGTACTCGTATTCTACTCGTATTCTACTCGTATGTACTCGTATGTACTTGTGTTTTACTCGTATGTTACTCGTATGTACTCGTGTGTTACTCGTATGTACTCGTATGTTACTCGTATGTTACTCGTATGTACTCGTATGTACTTGTGTGTTACTCGTATGTTACTCGTATGTACTCGTGTGTTACTCGTATGTACTCGTGTGATGTTTTAGTCACGATCCCATTTTAAAGACTAAGGACACCTCGAGTCGTACGTTTGTACCAGCTCAAGTACGCGTCAATAACTATTGGAACAGCAGTCAGATTGGACTAAAATCCATGTCTCTTCCTGTGAATAATGCTGTCTACCAACCTAACCCCTTTTAGGTAATGCACACTTATTTTCAGAATAAATATATACTATAGCAAGCATAGAATATATTATTTTAAAATAACTATTCCTTTTCGAGAACAAAAAGTACTTTAAGCGTCAAACGTTGAACCAAAAGCAGCAATAGTCAATATATAAATGGTTGACTTCGTGCACGGATGTCAAACTTAACTGTACACTGCGCCTAAACATATTTTGGGCGTTGTTGTTTGCAGTTCCTTCCTGTAATCGTCACGAGTTACATAAATATCATTTACGAATCATACAGTTATAACATAAAATAAAATATTACATAAAATAAAAGATCATTATATAATTAGGTAATCGGAAACAAGATAGGGCTCCAAAGCCGATATCGATCAATCCCGACAACGACCTATATGGCCACGTCTGAGTGCTTCCCGGAAAACTCGAAAACTCAATTGTATTCATATGATCTCTATGCAATATGTAATAAGGGTTATTCTGATGATTGAGCATAACACAGTTTATATGTAATAAGGCCTATACTGTATGTGTGTATGTATACTGTATGTATGTGACATATTGATATGATATTTCATTTTCATGCTATGACAGATACTGCCATTACCAAATTATAACTCAAATTCTAGGTTATTCTGACTGATTATTTTTCATGTAAATATGCTATGTTGCTGCGTGTCGATTCTAAATTACTAAATTACTAATTACGAATTACTAAACAGTCATTAAAATATTCCCACTTTTATAAATACTGTTGCAAAATAGAAATATGATGCAATCAAGCTGAAACATAATTGAAAATTATGCAATTTAAGAGATACTATATAGCAAGAACGATTTTTATTATTTACATTTGTTACGCATGTCTACGGAATACTTAATTTCAGTTAGCTTGTTTAGCTTATTTCTGTTGCATTGACTATGTCTATTGTATTAATTAAGTGAGAACGACAGTTGATATCTCCCATTAAAACAACACAAACCCTTTCCTCTGCCTAATGGGGAAATGCATGCTCACAACTATATATGAAGCGCGTAAATAAACATTCTTTATTCAATATTACGAATAAACATGTATTTAAAATACTATTATTTGTGTCCAGAAAAATCGATTCAGAACTAGATTTCTACTCCTGTAGTTAAGCTCCCGGCAAGTTTAATCTATTAGTTTAGTTTGATAGTTAGTTTGATAGTTTAATAAAATCGCACTTTTTGCAGTAAGTTACTGAATTACAAGGTGATTACAAGTGTAAAAAAGAGGCATAAATATATACATGAATTAAGATTATAGGAAATCTAACAACAATAGGAATAAGGGACGGACCATTTGATTTTTCATGGGGGGGGGGGCGCATTTTTGAGAGTGCTCGATTTTTTTTTTGGACCTCACCGACTCCGCACGATTTTTTTTA